ACTGGGTGGGGGCGCGGAGGACAGGGGGGCGACTAGTGCTGGGGGGGAGTGTCAGGGGCGGAAAATGGCCACGGACCACGTGTCAGGGGCAGAAAATGGCCACGGACCACGTGTCAGGGGCGGAAAATGGCCACGGACCAAGTGTGGGGCGGAAAATGGCCGCGGACCACGTGTCATGGGAGGGAAAATGGCCGCAGATCCGGTTCGTAACTCGAGGTGGTTTGCAACACGAGGTAAACTTTTGGGGCCGGAGCTGGTCGTAACACGAAAAATTCGTAAGCAGAGGCGTTCGTAACTCGAGGTACCACTGTACTGAAGTATATAGTCAAAAAAATTCAAAGGACTCATGAACAGAAGAGGTCAAGTTTGCCATCTCTCATCTTGTGTCCTTGCCATTTCCTTGATTGCGTTACCTGTTCTCAGAAGATGCTGCTGTTGGTTCTCTGCATAAACCTCTTTATTCATTCCCAGACTAAGATGTGTTGCATACTGTGACAGAATAATGAGCAACTGGGATACCGGATGAGGTAGATGCCACTATTACACACCGCAGGAGATGTGTGGTGGAAAAACTTGCACGCTGCCATGATTGTTACAAATGCCTGTGCATGCAGAACGTTTTGTCTGCTCTGAGCTGAGAAATGAAGTGTTTCCTTTCTGCTCCCAAATTAATTGGATTCATTCAGGTGGAGGAGAAGAAAGCCATATGCATGAGCAAAATGGCCTATTTTCTTTGCAATTCCAGCTAGTGAAGGTTACTTGTGCTGAGTCCCATTCCTGCATCTTCGCATCTCAGAGGTGTCTGCAGGATATGGTCAAAAAAGTCAAGATGATGGCTGTGATGGTGCAATCCAAAGTCCACCTGTTTTCATGTTCAAAGCACTTAAAAATAGGCAGATCTTCATCAGCACTGTTGTGGCTATCATCTTGACTCTTCTGATCATACTTTGAAGACATCTCTGGCATCTTCATCCATTTTTGCCATAGGAACTGGCTCTTTGACAATCTAACAGAAGGAGATCATCCTCGACAGTCAGGGAAGCAATGTAGAAATCCACTCTTTTCCCTAAATTTTCTTGCTGCCTTGATCTGTATCAAGCAGCAAACAGTGAACCAAGTGTCCACTGGCAGAGTCCACTTCTATCCTAGTGCTTGGCCAAGTAAAGTTTGAAAGAAAACTAAACCATGCTGGTATATATGAGAGAATAAATTGTGCAGCATGAAAGAAAAAATGATGGTTGCCACTGCATCACAACTTCTGGCTATATAGACCTGAGTCAATACACTCTGCCACATTAGCAAATACACTGGAACTAAGTCTCTGGATTTAGAATCTGTCCGTCTAAAATTGAGGAACATGAGATGTAAGTAAAACTAGTGCACCAGGGAGTTGACATGACAGCTCGGTCAGAGGAGGTGATAAAGTCCTTCTCTGGTGGATTTCTAGACAGCGGGGGGAGCCCCTGCACAGTTTAGGCTTGAAGGCACCCATTGTTAACTGGCTGCATCTGCGCTTTTGTCTCAGTTCAGCTTGGTCCTTGGGCCAAATAATGTTCCTTATTCTTGGTCTAAATTCTCCAACTTGAATGGGATGTGAATCATTATCAGAACTGGCAACTGGAATTTATACAACTATTACGGGCTTATCAACTAAATGGGTGAATGTCAGCCTTCAAGGTAGATCAGACTAGGAAATCAAAATCACATGGGTTAATACTACTTTGATTATACAGCGATTGTAACAGAATCTTGCAAATCTACATGTGCTTCCCCCTTCCCCTCCCTTTAACTTCGTGAGAATCAGGGAGGGTCTTGTCTGAGACGCTTTCTCAGGTTACAGTTCTGGCCTGGATTCAGGTTTATCTGACTGTTGCCTCGGTAGCAGCTCTTCCTCCTGTTCCTCAAGGTCATTCCTTCTTCCCATTACAGTGAAATTGGGAGTGGCTAGAGTCAAAGAGCTTTGCTTCTTATTCCTCAGTCCAATTCCTTTTTCTTTCCAATCCTGCTCCCCATCTCTTTTCTTTTCCTCATCTCACTGAATCTGGGAAGAATCCCCTTCCTTCTTTTATGCCCTGTGATAGCAGCAGTTTGTCCTGAGACCCGAATCAAGGAAATCCTAATAACGGCTAGCCAATTTCACCTTACCAGAAACTGCAACAGCAATCAGCTGGAAGGCTGCCAGCTCTGGCTCTTATATTTGTACTCACAGTACTTCAGGGGCATCCACAGGGGTTGTCAAAAAAGTCAAGATGGTGGCTACAACTGCATACTCAAAACCTTGCTCCTTTTTTATATGTGTTGCACACTGAGTGGATGTATTTTATATTCCAATGGAAGAGACTCTCTGTAGCTTAGGACTGAACTGTGGAGTCCTTGGTGCTCTCTGAGCTTGGTTATTTGCTTGCAGATGTTTCACTACCCAACTAGGTAACATCATCAGTGCATTATATATTGCTTAACATTTGATATATAGGTGATAAGCTTAGACTGCTTATAATTTTATTTTGTTGGTTATTGGTTATGATTCTTTCCTTTTTTACAATTGTTTATAGTTTTACTACTTCCTTGTAGTTAGTTCGGGGGAATTGTATTTTTGTCTGTTTTTTTTCAAACTTGTAATAAAATAAAGTTTAAAAAGCCCTACTCATGCAGGGTAGAGCTTCAATTGTGCAGTTGTCAACTTGTCTTTTTTTATTATTTTTTTGCACTGCCCCGATATTACTTCTGCTTGAAGTGATTTTAGTAACATAGCTGATTCAACCAAAGTTAAATATTAGGCTAATAAACTTTTGAAGTGGTGATGATTTTATTGCTACATAATGCACACACACTAATATATGAAATCCTTTTCAGGTGTAAATCAATAACTGAACTGAGCTGGAAAAATGCCAAGCAACATAAAAATGCTTTATTAAAAAAAAAACCTGCATTAAGGATACAAGTGAAAATGTGACTTTAAGTTCCTAAAGCTGTATTCCAAAAAATCCTCTTCGATGCACTTTTGTTGATGAATTTTTCTCAGCCAAACACTTCTTTGCTGTAATGAATTCTAGAAAAAAGCCAAAACTTTGAAAGGTGCAAAGCAGACCATAACTACAGCTCAACCAGACGCTGCAGAACACTGAAAAGTCAAAGTTCTTTTTAAAAGCAGAAATCAGGGCAGGGCTGACTGCAGGGCAGGGGCATCAAAATGATCGAGATGGTAGTCATGAGAGCAGAAGCCTCTTTTGTTTTAATGGGTGTAGCATGTACATCTGGGAGTAAATTCCACCGAGATCATGTTTAAGCAGACATACAGGCGACTGGGTTAGAACCAACAGGCGTTTGAAATAAGCCTTGGCTTTTGCTGTTTTAAAACTGAAATCAAAACCAAATCACCCCAGCGCTTTTGTAGTAATTCAGTCTAGCTGAAATGTGCTTCCAATTTAAAACCTTAACTACAAAGCCCTAGCTGGAAAGTCCTCCTCCTCCTCCTCCTCTAAAGATTGATCCAAACATGTCCCCACAGGTTCAGGCTGTGCTGAACCTTGCTATACTTGTATTGTCATTCTTAAAACGTTTCTAGAGATGCCACTGGAGGGAGAGTCAGTCAACATTTCAGCTAAAGGGCTGATGAAGGCTTCAGGGAATCTTTGCTGGGCATGTATCTCAGATTCATCTTCATTTGTTGAAACATTACAGAAGTGCCAAGTCCTTGATTATTTTCAGACTCCTCCACTTCAACATAACTTTAGGCAGTATTGGAAAATCTCCTATAAACCTCCTCTTAATGTAAAAGGCGGTAGCAATCTGCCAGTCTATCAGAAAGTAGCTTTGCAGAGCATGTAACTCGCTCTGTAAAGCTGAAGAAAGCAAAAAATAAAGCAGTTTTTCAGATTATTATGAAGGGAATAAAGCCAAAGGGCAAAACAAGATGTTTCCTATTAGGGTTATGCTGAGAACCAGGTGCAGTTTTGTGCTCAATATGGCCATCCCAATTTAGTGACGAAGCCACGGTAGGGAAAGGAGATTATAAGATGACATGAATCAGCCGTTGTATTGGCTTTCTGTCTTAAAAGCCTAACTTGGAGTATAGGTAGTCCTTGGCCTACGACCATTCGTTCAGTGACCATTAGAAGTTATGATGGCGCTAAACGGATGGTGGTTGCAACTGGTCCTTGGGGTTCTGGCCATCCAGCACCCCCTTGGTCATGTGATTGCAACCTGGGTGCTTGGCAACTGGTTTGCACTTACGACCAGTTGCAGCGCCTGGCGATCACACGATCGCCATTTGTGACCTTCCCTGCCGGCTTCCCACAAGCAAAGTCAATGGGGAAGCCAGCAGGGGAGGTTGCAAGTCACTGGGGTAAGTCTCCCTCCCCGGCACACCGTCCCCCAGCCCCTTGCCATGCCTCCCCTGCACTGCCACCCACCCCCTCCCCCATCCGGCAGCAGACACTTAACTGCCTGCCAGCCTGGGATTTGCAACTTCCTACTGGCTCCCCACTGACTTTGATTGTGGGAAACGGCAGGAAATCGCCTTGCCTAATGACCACAGGATTCAGTTAACGACAGCAACCAGGAGTGCAGGGATTGCCGGTGATAAGCAATGTGATCGCACTTTAGGACTGCATCGCTTAGCAACTGAAATTCTGGTCCCAACTGCTGTTGTAAGTGGAGGACTACCTATACAGCAGTGGGTGTCCCCCTGGGAGGTGCAGTGTTCAAATGACACAGGCAGTACTGTGGCACTGCAGCACAAACTCTGGCCTTCCGTGCGCAGCATGTTGTTTTACGCACATCCAAAGGTGATGGAGGTGGCAATGCAACACTGTGACACTGTTCTCATCCTCTGCGTAAAAGCAATGAGAATTTGCAAACGCTGCCGTGGAAGTATATGGATCTCTTCTGAAGTACATGGATGACTAGCACTGATGACGCTACCTAGCCGGGTAATGAAATGTCTGCAGCCAAACCACCAGGCTCAGAGAGCCCCAAGGACTCCACAGTTCAACCCTGAGCTACAGATATTCTCTTCTATTGGGGACTCTTTTTGCCTGTCTTTTGATGGACTTAACGATCATTCTTATTCTGCGAACTTTCCTGCTGCTCTTGTTTTAAATGTTAATGTCGTAGTTATTATTTTGTTCCATGTTCTTACTTTCTTTTGTACTCTATTTTTTTTAACAATAAAAAATATTCAAAAGATGTTAATGATGCTCTTTTAGGGAGTTATATATCTTGCTTTGAAACGTTACCTGGGAAATATTAATCTTGGGGAAGGATTAAGTTCAAAGGGCACTGAATGAATTTTTAAATAAAAAAATTAAATGCTCAGTAGCTTAACTATAGGCTACTAAATCCGCTAGAATTCTGGAGTCAGAGAAGTGATGAGAGAGAAACTAGCCAGCGTGCCCCAACCTGCAGCCCGCCATGTTTTGCACTGCAACTTCCATTAGGCCCAACCAATAAAGGATAATGGGATATCAAGACCTTGAAAATGCATGAAGAGTAACACAGATCTCTCAGTTAACCCCTGTAATGTAATTCAGGATCATGCACATACAAAGCAATCACAGATCAGACACCACAGAAAATGTATGCGTCGTCCCCAAAAGGAGAACTTCTGAATGCAGACCTTCACACTTTCACTCCAGACTGAGAACACGGAGTAAAGAAAGAAGATGAAGAGGGACAGAGATCCATGCCAAACTTACGTTTAGGAACATTAACCCCCTGCCTCAATTAATGCAGATTCAGCTTCATGACAGGATCACAGGGGCCTTGTTGCCTTTCTCCCCACATTCTCGCCTCTCATCCTTGCTTCTCCCCACTAACCTGATCCTCTTTTCAACCGTCTTCTTGCCAGCTTGATTTGATCCTGCAGAATCTGTACCCAGTCTCTTGGGCCAGGCAGTTTATCCACATGGTTTACAGTACAGTATTTTTCTGTGAACACTAAAATGAGAAAGGAAAAACCTTGACGAAACAAAACAAAATAAAACTCTCCAATTTTTCAAAGTTTTTAAGCAGACTTTAAGAAGACAACTTCCAATAAACGTTTAAGCAATTGGATAATCTGTATCTATCTCTGGAAGCATGAAATCTCTCATGAAATCACTTCCACACACAAGCTTTTTTCCACGTCCATCAATTTTCCAAGGACAAGGAGAGATGAACAATGAATGCCTCATACATACTCCACTCATTCAGACTTCAGATAGCAGAGTTCTGTGAGGACCATATTTTGGAGTACATTAATTTTAGCTTGTGGTTTAAAGATGCTCATATATCTTAGGCATTCTGCAAATAATAGCACAAATTGTGTAACTGTTCGAAACCTAGTACTCTTGTGGTAAGTGCAGCCTCATAATTCCCATCATTTCTAGCTACAGAGTAAGATAGTTGGGAATAAAGAGAAGTGTAGTTCTGAATATTTAGCAGAAACTTGGCTGGGGTGCTAAACCTTCAAAAACAGAACTGTACAAGGCATGAAAAATCCAAGAATACTGTTAACTAGAATTATCTGCCTCCAGACAAACCAAGAAGGGTAAAAATATTGTCTGGAATAGAGAGAAATATAAAAATACAAGATTTAAACTAGAACGAAACCTAAGTTAGTGCGTTCTACCAATCCAGAGATTTAATGAATATATATCGCTGCCCAGAGTCATTATGAGTTGGGTGGCTTTTTCACATTCAATCAATCAATCAATCAATCAATCAATCAATCAATGTGGGGTTTTTTGTTTGTTTTGAAGGAAAGGGGATTGGGGATTAAGAAAAATGCTCAAACTGGCCTAATTCAGGCGTATCTCTAATACACTTTCTGTAACGTTCATATCTGGAGGGGATAAAGGCTCTACCCTGCTGTTAGATTAATGATTCCAACAAAGCAAAAATCTCTTCTAAGACTGCCACTGACTCTGCTCTCCACATCCCTCCTCACATCCCGTTTCACCAGAGAGGCAGACTGAGGAGAAAGTCTGGAGAAAAGGAAGTAATCAGAGCCAGGAGAGGTTTTGATCTTTCGCTTGGAAAAGACATCACAAAAAATAAAGAAGAGAGAATGTCAACAAAGATATCATCAACCAACAGACCAATCAATTCCTCTCTCCAGCAAGTGAGTTTATTTCAACATTTATGGAGTCAGGGGCCAATATATTTCCTTAATTAAGAAACATTTAAGAAACAGAGCAAACCTTGAGCTACGGAAAGCTGTTTCACACTGTCATTTAAAGGGAAGTGGACAGAGCATGAATGAGCAAGTTTTTGGTCTTTGAGGACCACAATTAAAATTTTTTGTGGGGGGAGCCATGTCACACATGTGGGTTTAACCAGGTTTGGGGTTTTTTTTCCCCCTTTTCTTTGGGAGGAGGTGGGGGGATATGCAACCATGCCATTACTTTTCACAACTGTAGCTGGAGGGTGCTCTGGGAGCACCACAGAAAATACATTTTAGGCCAGTGTATAGCCTGAAGCTGAGATACCACTTAACAAGGATGCACCTGAAGCAATGAACGGAGGCAAGGGTTAACAGAAATGGCAAAGAGAGCAAGGGATAAAAATGTGTGGAAAAATTAGTCTGGAAGGAAAGTAGGGTTTGACATCAAAAACTCCATTCAACTACAATGCTTTTAATGGCCTCATTACCATCCTCTAGCTCTACAGTCATAAAAAATCCCCTCACCCCCAAAAAGTATTACAGTAGAATTGGAAATGAAATGAATTATATCACGGAAAAGTCTTTACAATCCCTATCTAACTGATTTATTGGATATAGCCTGCTCAATTTGTAGTA